TTTCCTTCATCTCCACCATATCCATACTTCTCATATGATGTGAGACTCATTTGTACCTTCCATTTCACGGCACCAGCATTAAATGGCAGTTGTTTGGTAATGGTTGCCGGTCACAAAGGGGCCAATAACAACGCAAAAAGGTAGATGGAATTGCTCTCCCACTATATTTTCTTGCTCTGTATTGTTTACCAATTCCACATCAAGCTTGTCAGGGGACTATGGAGATAGAGGTGGCTGCAAGTAGTAGTAATCAGAACTATGGCAGTGGTGGTGGCGACATGTATTATGAGAAGGCGGTGTATGGTGGTGGAGGGAAGGGTGTATACTTGGTGTGGGAGGATCTGAATGTGGTGCTGCCAAACTTTGGGAATAAACCCACCAAAAGGTTGCTTCAAGGGCTTAATGGGTTTGCTGAGCCTGGTAGGATCATGGCCATCATGGGTCCTTCTGGCTCTGGCAAATCCACTCTTCTTGATTCTCTTGCAGGTATGCTTTGCTCTGTATTTCTCTGTTTGTTTTTATGATTTTTAAATTACTTGAATTTTAGTTCATTCTTAGTTAAAGGACATTAGATTCTGTGGAGTTTTCCTGAATCCTGATTTCCATTTCATAAACTACTGTTGGGATTTGGGATTAGTGCCTGCTCCTCTGTCCTCTCCAAGGAGAAGGACAAAATCAATTGTTTAAAATAACTTTCTTCTTGTTTTGAAAGAAATAATAGTAAATAATATGGAGAATTTTTCCTTCTTTGTCCAATAAAAATTGTCAGGAAGGAGGGGCGGATAAAAAGATGGGATGTTCATGTTGGCTCTCATTAATGACTACAGAAAGGGGTTAAAAAACAAAAAAAAAAAAGTTAAATGGTTCCTCTTATAACTTATCTATCTTGTACTGATTGTTTGTTGAAATACGAAAAATGATTCACATGTAATCTTATTCCGTAAAATCCTACATGTTAGTAAATATTTGATTGGCCCATTTCACTGGCAAAACACGTGACTCAATGTGCATTTAGTTTTTCCTTTTTTTTTTTTACAAAAACAATGATTAATAAAATAATTTTATTAGTGATGAGTAATTGAAGATTCTGATCTCTAAATTTAGTCAACATCCCATTTCACTCAACGAAGCACGCGCCTCATCGGGCGCTTGGTGGAGTTCGTGCATTTAGTTATTTGATTCCACTGTGTGTGCATCAGCTCAGTCTGACTGCATCTGCATGCCTTGGTTTCAGCGTTTTTATATACTAAAATGAACCCAACTTTTTTCTTTCCATAGATCAAAAAGAAAAAAAAAAAAAAAATGGTTTGCCATTCAATTTTGAAAATGACAGCTAACTACGAACTTCCAACAATCAACAAGAACAAGGGACAGGGACATGTAGAAAACGGCCTAGAAGACAAGGGATATCTTCAATAGAAGCAATCCACTTGGCTTCTAAAGTATAAAATTCTCCAAATAGTTTAGTAATCAATTGGAAATAGGATGGTACCAGTATTTTTGAGTTCAGACTTTCAAAGATAAAAGAAAGAAGTCCTTTTCTACCTCTGTTTCTCATGAATTGATTGTTAGGTAGCTAGCTATTCGCTATTGTAGAGAGGATATGCTTTTTTTGGTTGTACAGTCTCATCTTTGCAGTAAACTTCACTTGTAAAGTATGTAAAAAAACGTTTGAATTTAATAGTATGATTTGATAGTGATGAATTTAATTAATTCTTCCATCCCCTAAACTCAAGGCAAGTTCTGAAGAAAGTGAATATTAATTTCAAGTTTTATACAAATTAAGACTAGAAGATTTATTCATATAAGTGAGCTGCTATGTTTTTCTCTGATATTTGCTAATCCAAGTATCTAAGTTTATGCTAATTCCACTTGTTTCTTTAGTTTAAAGGGAAAAGAATTATATTCTTCTTCTTCGTTTTTTTCTTTTTAAAAAGAAAGGCAAAACAGTTTTGCAGTCTTGTCAGATTGAGGTGTGGCTTGCTTCTATATTTCTTTTTAATGTGTTAAACTCAGTGTTTTAAATAAAGCCTTGATGAAGACAATCCGAATTACAAGTACTCCCTCATTTAACTGCAATATTAACAAATCTAGTTTCAGCATGTATCTGGTTCTTCCACTTTGCAGGAATCCTTGTTAATCATGTGCCATGTTCCCTTGATTATGTAGGTATATCTATTGAAATTCATATATGTATGATCACTTAAAAAGATTCCTTGATCTTACTACAGGTAGACTCTCCAGAAATGTGGTCATGACTGGAAATATTCTTTTGAATGGGAAGAAAAGAAGACTAGATTGTGGTGTTATTGTAAGTTTTTCTCTCTTTCTTCTATAATTAGCAACAATTTTTTTTTAATATAATTATTAGCATTGAATTAGATTAATTTGAAAATTCTAGTCTGAGTTATTTATTCTGTTTCTCTGTTTCTCTGTTTTTGAAAACCCCAGGCTTATGTGACCCAAGAGGATGTGATGTTGGGAACTCTAACAGTGAGAGAAACCATAACCTACTCAGCTCATCTGAGGCTCCCAAATAACTTGACCAAATATGAAGTAAACGACATTGTCAATGGAACCATCATGTCCATGGGTCTCCAAGATTGTGCTGATACCTTGATAGGAAACTGGCATTTGAGAGGTATCAGTGGTGGGGAGAAGAAGAGACTGAGCATCGCACTTGAGATCCTCACAATGCCACGAGTTTTGTTCCTCGATGAACCTACCAGTGGCCTTGACAGTGCCTCTGCCTTCTTTGTGATCCAAACTCTCAGGAGCATTGCCCGTGGAGGAAGGACGGTTATCTCTTCTATTCACCAGCCTAGTAGTGAAGTGTTTGCATTATTTGATGATCTGTTCTTGCTATCTGGTGGTGAAACTGTTTATTTTGGAGAAGCAAAGATGGCAGTAGAGGTATGATAGGCCTGACTTGATAATAAACATCATAAATCTGTAAGATCATTTCCGTTGAACAAGTGGGTTTAACTTCTGGTATCTGCAGTTCTTTGCTGAAGCTGGATTTCCATGCCCCAAAAGAAGAAATCCTTCTGATCACTTCCTGCGGTGTATAAATTCAGATTTTGACACTGTAACAGCCACACTAAAAGGTTCTCAAAGACTTCGGGTATGTATTCCTTTTAACGAAACTTTATGCAGCACTCAAGTAAATTGTTATGCTAAAGCATGTTTTAGAAAGAGAACAGAATTCAAGAACACTAATATACAATTTAAGGATCCTTTCTGGATGATCAGGATTAAATTTATTTAAATATCCCAACGTAAAATCATGTCTCAAATTTTCAATTATTCTAATTGGAGTAGTAGTTATTACAGGAGGATCCAACATCATCAGATCCTTTGATGAATATGGCAACAGCACAGATCAAGACAATGCTTGTGGAAAGGTACAAGCGTTCCAAGTACGCAAAAAGGGCAAAGGCTAGGATTCAAGAACTATCCAACATTGTACGTCAAACTTGAACATCTTATCTTTAGAGCTTTCCAGAGATACTGACATGAAAATCTATGTATTGCAGAAAGGAGACGTGGAAACAGGGAGCCAAAGTGAAGCGAGATGGTTGAAGCAGCTTTCAACATTGACAGAACGATCATTTGTGAACATGAGTAGGGATGTGGGATATTACTGGGCAAGGATAGTGATATACATAGTTGTATCCATCTGTGTTGCCACTGTATTCTTTGATGTTGGCTACAGCTACACCTCTATTCTTGCCCGGGTAGCTTGCGGTGCTTTTATAACCGGATTTATGACATTCATGTCTATTGGAGGCTTCCCATCCTTCATTGAAGAAATGAAGGTAATCTTTATCCAATTCAAAGCAACGCAGTCATGTTAGATTTTAGTTTGTGATTCCTGATTTCTCCTTTCTTCAACAGGTTTTCTATAAGGAAAGACTCAATGGCTACTATGGAGTTGCAGTATACATTCTATCCAACTTCTTCTCTTCGTTCCCTTTCTTGGTTGCTATTGCCCTTATCAGTGGGACCATAACATTCTTCATGGTGAAATTCAGAACGGGATTTTCACATTATGCGTTCTTCTGTCTTAATATCTTTTTTAGCATAGCTGTTATAGAGAGTCTAATGATGGTTGTGGCTTCAGTGGTTCCCAATTATTTGATGGGGATTGTAACCGGTGCTGGAATTATGGTAAGAACTTCTTGATCAGCTCCTTACCTCTATGTCCACCATCTTCTGCTACCAAGGTTTTGATTTTTGTTATTTCTGTTCTGCAGGGAATCTTAATGATGACTTCTGGATTCTTCCGATTGCTGCCTGATCTCCCAAAACCATTTTGGCGATATCCTGTCTCATACATTAGTTTTGGTGCTTGGGCACTTCAGGTATTTCTTTGCCTCAGATAATTTCCCTTTGGAGTAAGATGACCTAAAAAATAGGTTTATAAGTTTACCTAGCAGCACGATTCAGGTAAAAGGAAAATGTTTTAATCAATTTTAAACTTCATTCATTGCTGCCATACTGGAAACTGCAGGGTGCCTACAAAAATGATTTCCTTGGTCAGGAATTTGATCCTCTCTTTCCCGGAGGACCAAAAATATCAGGAGAGTACGTTGTTTCAAAGATATTCGGGGTATCTGTATCACGTTCCAAATGGTGGGACTTATCTGCAGTGGCACTCATTCTTGTGTCTTACCGCCTTCTCTTCTTCATTATCCTTAAGTTTAAGGAAAAAGCTTCACCATTGTTTAAGGACTTTTATGCAATGATGACTACACATTCACAGCATCTTGAGAAAGTTCCTTCTTTCAGGGAAATAACTTCTTTTGGTTCCAACAGGCACCAACCTCTCCATTCACTGTCTTCTCAAGAGGGTCTCAACTCTCCTCTGCAGTAGAAGCAACAATAGCAACCATGTCATACCTTGAGTTTAAACTATGTAATTGCTGTAACGTATTTTCTGCTATTCATCAATGTATGAAAGTCCTAGAATAGAGAGAAATAAACGTAAAAATGCATACACAAAGTTTCTGATTGATTTTTATGTAGAAGGGATGTCTTCCCTTTTGATCAAGATAATGAACATCAATTTATGTGGCATATATATCGTGAACTGTTTTACTTTTATGTCCCTATGAAGCCATGCATTCTTCTACCTGCACAAGCTTAATAAGGACAACATCCCTATGACCTGACTATAGGATTAAGAGGATTCTTCGACCAACAAGCCTCTTGTTTCGAAAGTGAATTCTGTACAGGGCATACGAAGATTACTTGCATTGCATTTGTACTATCAAATAAAAAGAGTTAGAATCAAGGATAAACACATCATTTTTTACGTCAAGTTCAAAGTTTAAGTCTTACATCAACACTTAAAAAATTAATTTTTTTAAATGTATTAAATCGATATAAAGTTACACTTTTAAAATGATTCAGAAAGAAATTAATTTTAAAGTACATAAAAATTTATTTCAAAATATTATGATAGTAAATAAAAAAATACTAACAAATACTTCATATAACATTACTATTGTGATTGCAACATGATTTGATTTGTACATTTATAAGGTAGAATTTTGATTATTTGTCCAATAATTTCCAACCATTTTAAGCATGAAAAAGGCAATCAAGATGGCATGTGCATGTGGTCCAACAAATACAATTCTCGTTTGGGATATATTTTCAATAAATTTGTGCCACAACAAAAGAAGCAACATCACAATTATTTGCCATCCCAAACCCAAAATCATATTTTTAGTTGACCATCTCTCCTCCATTAAATGAAAAATCAAGAATTTGCATGTTTGGCAAAAAAGAGCTGCCCCCTTCATTGGTCCCCCATGAAGCTAGTGAAGAACAGTCACAAGAGGTTATGGTTATAGATACTATTAAATTTGGTGAGGTGATAAAAAGTTATTAAATTTTTATTCTAATTTAATTGTTAAAAATAGGTTAAATTTAATAAATAGCTTGTTAACTATATGATTTATTTCAATTTAATCTAAAATAATTTTTTCTTTCAAAATGATCTATAAATTGTTAATTTTATTTTAAAATGATTTACTTGACAAACATTCCGTTTATCTAGACAA